CGGTTACTCAATGTCTGGTTAACACTAATCTCCGGTTAAACATAGTTATCGACGTTACCGACTCCCTGTTATATGCATGGAGTCGAAGTCGTCGATAACGATGTTTAACCGCAGATTAGTGTTAACCACACATTGAGTAACCGGCCCTAAGAAGAGTTAAACAAAAATTTCCCTAGAAAATAAATTATATGTCGCCAGGAAGCCACTAAAGTGGACAAATTTTATACTAAGAATGTTTATAAGAGCATAGCTATGCGTAAGCTCTTCACGGAAATAAATGTCAAAAATACATTCTTTGAAATAAAATGTTGGTTTGACGTTTTTTATTTCCATATATATAGTACAGAACTACAGGAACAAAAATTTAACACAGGGTATCCCTGCGGTATTCCAGAAAAAATATTTTTTTTTAATAAAAATTTCAAAATGAAATGAGTAAAAAATATACGTAAAAGTATGTTACTTTTTATTATTTTATTAAATAATACCGGTTTTAGCTTTCGAAAGCAGAAATAAAAACCCGCTCTTTTTTGCACTTTTTGAAGTAATGCGTTTTTGGCTAATGCATAAAATAATTTTTTTTATTTTTATTTTTTGTCAGTGCCATCAGATCTGCACGATTCGTTCTATTTTCGAAAATGAAGTGTCAGATTAAAAATCTTGACCTGTAGACAATAGAGGTTTATTTTTTGCCACCTGCTAAAAAACTAAATAAATTTTTATAATAAGTTAAATGAATTATTAAGAGATGGGTATCAATCGAAATCTGTATGAAAAGGGTTTATTTCTAAACTGCATGTAGAGGGTTGCCACCTGTTTAAAAAATCAAATTCCATTTGAATTAAAGGAGTTAGGAAATTCAAATTGATAGGCATCACCATATGGGAGACAGAAGAAAGAGGTTTAAGAAGGTGTTAGGTTGCAAATAATACGAAGAGGGTTGCCACCTGTTTGTAAAGTCAAATTTAGTTAAACTAAAATAATAACTGTGTCAAACCAAAGGTTTACGACATCGTATTTGTTATTTTATTACACATACATACATTGTCAATCAGTGATTTGTTCTGATTACATTCCTTTTAAATTACTGGACTCTCAAATTAACTCACGAATGTTTTTACTCTTCACTTATTTCTTGCTAAATGTGTCCAATTTTTTCTTTTGTCTGGTACCCATATTGATATACATATTTCAGTTACCTTATTCCCGTAAAGTGAATTTGATTTTTAAAACATTTGGTAACCGCCTTCTACGTGTCGTTTAGAAATAAAGTATTCACAAAACCATTTCAATAGATACCCATATTGTGATATCTAATTCATTTAACTTATTAAACAATTGTAATAAAATTTGTCACAGGTGGCAACCCTTTCAAAAAAAATAAATAAAACTTTCTTGGACATCTACAGGCCAAGCCCTGTCATTTGACACCTCAGTTTTGAAAATGGAAGGAACTATATGTACATACTAGGAATATTAATCCCGGGATCCCGGCCCTTTTAAGGTCACAAAAATCCCGGTATTCTTGGCAAATAATCGCGGGATTTTCGGGATTTGTAATTTGCACTGATGAAAATAATAGAAACTCCTTTTCTTGACCAGTATTGGCTATATTTCTTATTTTTATTTAATAATTAATATTTTTTAATAAATGTCTATCTCATTATACATATAACACCGCGAGATAGTAAGTTTTAAACAAAAATATCAATATATTCGCGAAACCATGGGCTAATTATAGTAAAATTGCGTTTTTAGTTTTTCACTCTGACGTCAGTAATTCAAAAATGATTTAAAAAATTCAGAGAAATGTGCTTAGAGAAGACGTATGGGTATCAAATTAAAGAGGAACTCCTATAGAATTTAAACAGTTGCAAGTTTTTGGTGCAGAAGGACTGGTAAGTAATTAAAATGTCCTTTAAAAATTGTATCCTTGTAATTTCGCAATATTTGTTTTTGAAAAAATTTTATGTTAACTCGATAAAACCCTCATATTTCATCCTTCTAACTTTATTAGCTTAAAAAATTACCTCGGTTTTTTGAGTCACTGTATTTATTTTGAAGTTTCGTTGATGCCTATAGTTTCATCACGTTCGTTTTGGTTGAAGAAAACCGACACGATGCCATTAATATGATCTCAAAAACCACATCATTAGTTAAATAAAAACTTCCTTAATAAACAATTTTAATCTTTATTGAAATAACTAAACAAATAGAACAAAAATATAGTTTTTATTCTCTTAAAACAACTAAAAAAGTTATTGGTAGATATTTTCCAGATTTGGTAGATTTTTTTCAAGTGGATAGCAAGTATTTTTTTCCGTCAGTGGCAACCCTGGGTGTAAGCCCAGTACTGCGTAGCTTAACCAATTATCTCAGAAAAATTAGTTTATTTCTACTTATGCAGCAACTAACTTCAAATTGAAGTATAATCACCTGGCAGCCTCATTGGGATAAACCAAATGCTTATACTTTTGATACATATCTTTGCAAATAGTTCAATATTAGTTTTAAAATCATCTAACTGTGGGCAATTAACTATTTCAGCATGAAAAGGCATCTGTAAAATAAATATACTGACTTTGCATTGCTTTAAGCCAAATGCATTTTAAAGTAGTTGAAATCAAAAGCAGAGTCGGACAATCGACTTGCTGCTTGCACACAATTCAAACTGAACATTTGAAAGCAAATTTACATGTCTAGCTGTAGCTGAGAAAAATGTTTGCTTCAATTGGTCGCGGCCAAGAATGTCCATGTTCAAATCTCATTAGGCGAAACATTTAATTTAAATTTTTAATTTCGATTATTCTTAATTATGAAAAAGCATTTGTGAAGTGTAGAACGAAAGTGTAATCAAACCACTGACTTTAAAGTGCTTTAAGCCAAATGCGTTTTAAAGTAGTTGAAATCAAATGCAGAGTCGGATAATGTTAAAGTCAACAGTTCGTTCCAAGGAAGAAAGTAGACTCTTCAGTACCATCTGAAGAAGTTAGTCTTCCACACACAGAATTCAAATACATTCGAATACAGGTTGTAAGGGGGTTTACATACTTAGCTCTATGCTATATTCCTCCCCGATCTGACTCATCAGTGTATTCACAACATGTTTCTTTACTGAAATCAATTTATTCAATGATTAAACCCTGTGATTCAATGATTATGTTGGGTGACTTTAATTTACCAAATGTATCATGGAACATCATTGACAATGATATCGTACCTTTCTCGTCTAGTGCGTGCAACAACGTATTTTTAGAGGAGATGGCTGAACTCTGCCTAAATCAAGTTTATGTACTTCGCACTAAGTTTGGCAAAGTTGTTGTTGTTGTTGTAGCGACTACAACAACCCCGCCCAGATCGGCTGATATCTCAGTCGTTGTCGTCGAGTTCCACTAACGGCAGCCCCAAGAAGCGTGCAGCCTCTATGGGGGTCGGTCCACAGTGACGACGCCGTTAGGGTTGTGGGGTTTTCCGGGCATGCCAAGAGATGTTTCGAGTCGTGAGGGGTCTCTCCGCATGCCGGACATTCGTTCGGCACATCCGCATTTAGCCTACTCAGGTAGGAGTTTAGCCTGCTGCAGTAGCCAGAGCGAAGTTGGGCTATTGTTGTTCTGGTTCCGTCGCGTCAATGTCCGGTGTTTGTGTGCCTAGAACGGCATTCACAGGTCTTGAGTCTACATAACTCGAGACTGCGTCCCTGTGAATGCCGTTCAGGGCCTGTCTGTGAGCTGACGGGTCCAGAGGCTGCTTAATGAACCTCTGGACTTCGTCCGTCAGTTCATATAGATGCCTCCTGACGTGCCTAGGCGAGGGCTCCTCTGCAAGCAGCTGTCTATTTGGGTGGCCACATCTGTGGCTCCCAACAAGAAACTGCTTGCAGAGCATCGTGTTGTGCTCCCTAATTGGGAGCATTTTCGCCTCATCGTGGAGGTGGTGTTCTGGTGACATCAGGAGGCATCCTGTCGCTGTCCTAAATGCTGTATTTTGTACCGTCTGTAGCTTCGTCCACTGCGTCCTACTAGTCCCCGGCGACCACACTGGTGCTGCGTAATTTAAAACCGGCCGGCCTATTGCCTTGTATGTTGCCAGCAACGTTTCTTTGTCTTTGCCCCAAGTACTGCCGGCTAGCGACTTGAGGACCTTGTTGCGGCTCTGTACTTTATTGACAATAGCGGTTGCGTGCGCAGAGAAGGAGAGCAGGCTGTCGAATGTTACTCCGAGTATTTTAGGATTATTCACCGTCGGAATTGGTGTGTCATCGACGTGAATTCCTAGCGGTAGCCTGACCTCCTTCGTCCAGGTTGTGAACAGGGTCGCAGAGGATTTCGTAGGGGAGAGGGCTAGACACTTTGCAGTGAAGAAGCGAGAAAGTTCAGAGAGATATCCGTTTACTTTCGAACACAGGTCATCAATTCCATTCCCAGTAGCCATGATCGAGCAATCGTCGGCGTAAGAGACAATCGAGACTCCCTCTGGTGGTTGAGGGAGCTTTGAAATGTAAAAGTTAAACAGTTTGGCAAAGTATTAGATCTTGCTTATGTTTATGATGCATCTAAGCCCGCTGTAAATAAATGTGATCAACTAGTTTTGACCGAAGATGTCTACCACCCTGCTATTGTGATATCTTACGAAATTATAAATGATGGTCAAAATCGCGGTATCCAAAAATACGAACCAAATATTCGCTGTGATCTTTCGAAAGCGAACTTTAAAAAACTGATTAAAGAATTGTCTAAATTGTCGGGGCCGATATACAAAGAAAAGGTTGAGCAAAGCGTTGCACATTTTAATTTTACTGTACATCAATTATTTGAAAAATATGTGCCTAAACACATGTGTGTTCCTGAAGAACAAACACAGTTATGGTTCACTATAGTGCTGCAAAACAATCGATGGCACTATCGATAGTATAATTTTTCAGTCACTATCGATTTTATTTTTTGGACTATCGATTGTTTTCCTATGCTTCGCATTGTGAACTCGCACGTTTACTAACGCCATTGTTTCTAGAGAAAAGTAAAGAGGTATGTAAATTGCTTTTGCATTCGCTTCTTTGATAAATGTATTTTACAATAACAAATTTTACATATTTTTCAGGAGATACTTTTATCAGGGTGGTGGTGAAGGAATGGAGGGGTTTTAAAGTTGGCAAAAGCAAAAGGTAACTTATTAGGTTTTACAATTTGATGTTCATTGCCTTTTCTAACCTGCAAATTTTCTATACATTTCTTGATTCTGATCAGGACGATGAAAGTGAAGCCATCAATTTAAGCGACACAGAGGAAGAGTCAGTAAACTTGCATCCCCAAAAGCGAAAAAGGCAAATAAATTCCCATGCTTGGAAATGGTTTGATAAATTAAATAGAATTTCTGCAAAGTACCGCATATGCAGCAAACTGTACAAGACCAGTTGTAAAACATCTAATTTGCACGATCATATAAGTCGCACGCATCCTAATTTAGGTAACTCAGAATGTCCTGAATCAGTCATCACCAATTACTTCCAACAAGCAGATAGCTACGATGCCAATTCTCCTCGTAAAATTGAGATCGACAAAGAAGTAATGAGCATGATCATATCGGACATGCAACCGTTCCGCATCGTTGAAGATGTAGGATTCAGAAAACTCTTCACAATTTTAGATCCTAGGCATAAGTTACCAAGCAGGACGACATTGCAAAACGTTCTTTTAGTCGAGATGTATGAAAAAGCTAGAGATAGCCTACAACATATTTTGAAAAATGTTAATCTTTGTTCAATTACCTCAGACGGTTGGACATCAAAAGCGAATGTAAATTACTTAACAGTAACGTGTCACTTTGTTGTTGAAGACAAATTGCGATCAGCAGTATTATCCACCTCTCAGCTATTTGACGACACAAATCATTCTGGAGACAATATTGCTGATTCATTACGTGCAGTCCTCAATGAATGGGGTATTTTTGGTAAAGTATCAACAATTGTCACGGATAATGCGCACAGCATGACGAAAGCTTGCAAAATCCTGGAAAAATGTAACTTACCGTGCTTTGCTCACACCCTCAATCTTGTTATGCTGGACGTATTGGCTCATGATTTATTAAGAGACCTTCTATTAAAATGTAAACGGATTATCAGTTTCTTCAAAAGTAGTGCTATAGCATATGCAAAGTTTAGATCAGTGTTTAAAAAACTGCAGAAAGTTTTATTTCATTTGCTTTTGCTTCTGCTTATGCTTTTGGAAAAGAAAGAAGTTGCAGTCAAAGCAAACGCAGAAAACGATTACCAATAAAATGAGCGTCAGCTTCGGCAGCCGTCGGTTTGAAAAATTTTCATTTTGTCTTGCTTATGATTTTGATCAGTAGCACAAGTTAAAGCAAAAGCAATATTTCTGCTTTTGCGAGTCGTCAACAGTGGCAGTCGATGAAACAGAAGTTTAGCATACACAAGCCGTCAGCATTTCTGTACATTAGTCGCAGTCGAACAAAAAGCAAAAATTTATTTAATTTATTTGCTAAGAAGCATCGAGTTCGTGCTGGAAAGCTAACGATCGTATGCTTCTCAGCATTTCTTCGTGTTGGTGCAGTGGCTATTCGTTTTCGTTTTCAAATATGACAGCAGAAGCAACTGACAACTGACGAACTGCGAAAGCCGATCAATTTCTTCTGCTTCTGCTTCCGTACTTTTCAGTAACACCCGATTTACATGATTCAAGTACTTGAAAGCAATTCTTGCTCATTCTCTTTTGTGTTTTCTATTTGCTTTTACACGTTTCAATTCTGTTGAATTCAAGTTTTGGTTCTTTAAATGGGAAGCAACGAAAATGCCAAAAGCAAAGCAAGAAAGTTGAAACGACTTGACGGTACAGACGCATGTGTACTCGTCCCTTTTCTTCTCACCCCCTCTCTTCCACATGCGAGCAGAATTGAATTCAATACTTGAACTGTGTAAAAGCAGTCTAAGCAAGCAACAGCAAAATGCCTCTGCTGATAAGCATCGCATTCGTGCCGGAAAGCAAACAATCGTTTACTTGTCAGCTCTTCTCGTACTGCTGCTGTGGCTGTTCGTCTTTTTCGAAGCCAAAGCAAAAGCATGAATATTTTTTTTGTAGCAAGACAACTTCAGAAGCACAGCATCAGCATATTTTCGTTGCTTTTGCTAATACTGCTTAAGCATTTCAAACCCTGGTTTAGATCTACGCAGTTAAAAGAAAAGCCTTTATGCCTGGTGCAAGAAGTACCGACGCGATGGAATAGCGCTTATAAAATGATATTATAAAATGATTATTACAAAAGACGCTATAGCTACAGTTCTTTTGAAAACACCAAAAGCGCCAGAAACGCTAACGGCTGATGAAATAGAAGTGTTAGAGGACCTGGTGGAATTATTTTCGCAAATCGACGAAGCCACTGTAAAAGTTTCAGCAGATAAAACAGTTACTATATCATTCATTTTACCAATAATTTGCGGCATCTTCAACAATTTACGTGATGTTACTAAAAGTACTGCACTGCTGTTAGGAAAGCTACGTTGCTAGATCCACGATTCAAGAAGGAGGGATTTAGATCGTCTTCCAATGCAGAAGTGTCAACCAAATTGTTGGAAGATGAACTATTTAACTGCAACAACAATGATTATGCCAACGACTTGTTCTAACCGTCCTTCCCTTGTGCCACCACCCTCATCTACAACAACAACAAAAACGACAACAGCAACAAGTTCAAGTGATATGTTTGGATTTTTGAAAGAAGCGGTCAATAAAAAAGTAATATCTGCTAGGGTGGATACTATAATATCAATCCGGCACTACTTCGAGGAAAGCAATATTCCAACAGACACCGATCCATTGGCGGGTAACTATTGAAGCGTTTGATACTTTTTTCATGTACAAGTGCGCTTAATTCATTTTTATAGATATCGGATACAAAATACGATGCTTTGAAATACTTAAGCATTCCCGCTACTTCTACTGAAACGGAGCGTATGTTTAGTAGAGCCGGTTGCATCGCTTCTGAAAGAAGATCGTCTCTGAAGCCGAAGAACTTAAATATGCTACTCTTTTTGAATAAAAATGGATGGGTTTTCGACCACGAATAAGACGTAGTAAGTCTAACGTACTAAAAACGAAGTACCTTATTTTCCTCTCTATGTAAGGAGCTAAAGAATTCATGGACTGTTAACGTTAAGTCATAACTCCCACGTTATTTTTAAGTATTATTTTTGCTAAGTGTGAAGTTTTTCTATAAATTCAAAAGTTTATTTTGACAATAAACCTTTTTTTTAATAAGAAGTTAATTTTTACTACACCTTATAGATTTCTTTCTTTGAAGCAGAAAAATAATATACATCTTTCCGTTTTTTCTTTATTAAACTATCGATAGTATCGATAGTGCGTTTAAATTTTGACTAAAACTATCNACTCCCACGTTATTTTTAAGTATTATTTTTGCTAAGTGTGAAGTTTTTCTTTAAATTCAAAAGTTTATTTTGACAATAAACCTTTTTTTTAATAAGAAGTTAATTTTTCTACACCTTATAGATTTCTTTCTTTGAAGCAGAAAAATAATATACATCTTTCCGTTTTTTCTTTATTAAACTATCGATAGTGCGTTTAAATTTTGACTAAAACTATAGATGGTGTACCTATCGATAGTTTTACAGCACCAGTTCACTAAAGAACTGAGAACACACAAAAAACCCGGTTTACACTCATACTATGTATGTAAAATACTCACTATTGCGTCACAAGTTCTTTGAGTTAAACAAAAAGTGTTATAAAGCTTACTTGTCTAAAATCAAACGACGTATAATAGATAACACCAAATCATTTTATGATTTCGTAAACTCCAAGCGAAATGAACGTGGGTTTCCTTCCGACATGAAGTATCAAAATACCGTCTCTAGTGATAATCAAACAAATTCGAACATGTTCGGTCAGGGGGGGGTGAAATAACACAAACGGCAATAACGCAAAATTTGCTTTATTTCACTTTTAAATGGGAAATAATACCAAAATTTGAGTTTTGCTTTATTTCCAACAAAGGTTGGAAATAAAACAAATTTTGCCTTATTTGCCATTGCTTATTTATACTATATGTCAAAAAAAAAACAGTTTACTGACAGAAGGAAAAATATCTTTGTTTATTCCAAAAATACAATTAAACCAAGGCACATTGAACAGGTAATATCAGTATAGCAGCTGATTTGATTTTTTTCAAATTATTTGTTCTCGAAAATGTCAAATATTTTACATTTCTTCTCACAAAAATTCTAAATTTTTAAAATCTATTTGCATGTGAAACATTTTCCATACAAAACCAGCGATTAAATAGCAGCTTTTGGAAAGNCCCCCCCCCCCCCCCTCCCCCCCCGTTCGCTCAGTTTTTTAAATCCAATTACTCCATTAACTCCCAAGCATAATTTGACTATCCTTTAAAACTAAGTCTNGAACACACAAAAAACCCGGTTTACACTCATACTATGTATGTAAAATACTCACTATTGCGTCACAAGTTCTTTGAGTTAAACAAAAAGTGTTATAAAGCTTACTTGTCTAAAATCAAACGACGTATAATAGATAACACCAAATCATTTTATGATTTCGTAAACTCCAAGCGAAATGAACGTGGGTTTCCTTCCGACATGAAGTATCAAAATACCGTCTCTAGTGATAATCAAACAAATTCGAACATGTTCGGTCAGGGGGGGGTGAAATAACACAAACGGCAATAACGCAAAATTTGCTTTATTTCACTTTTAAATGGGAAATAATACCAAAATTTGAGTTTTGCTTTATTTCCAACAAAGGTTGGAAATAAAACAAATTTTGCCTTATTTGCCATTGCTTATTTATACTATATGTCAAAAAAAAAACAGTTTACTGACAGAAGGAAAAATATCTTTGTTTATTCCAAAAATACAATTAAACCAAGGCACATTGAACAGGTAATATCAGTATAGCAGCTGATTTGATTTTTTTCAAATTATTTGTTCTCGAAAATGTCAAATATTTTACATTTCTTCTCACAAAAATTCTAAATTTTTAAAATCTATTTGCATGTGAAACATTTTCCATACAAAACCAGCGATTAAATAGCAGCTTTTGGAAAGCTCGCCCAACTCAGCAGCACAACCGCTGATTACTGGGCCTGGCACAGGATGATGGATCAATGCTTCGAGAAGCGAACCAATTTACTAAGAAAGAAAGTTGCAACAATTTTCATTTTTTCAATTTAAACTTTTTACCTTTTTCGTATTTCGCATGGCACGCTTTGATGTAGAAGAAAAAAATCAGAACAGGTTTCGATACCAGAAGTAACAACAAAATACGGGCAAATGTTGTTTTTGCTCAAATGCTCTAAACCTGTTTGATAGGTCTTGAATTAAACAAAAAATGTGATATAATTCATATGAAGAAAGTAATATTCACAAAATATTTTTACTTATGAAAAGTCTCACAAAATATAGGAAAAGCATCGTCTTTAAAAACTGCTCCGCATATTGGACATAGCGCTTTTGTATGAATTTTTTCTGCATGCTTTTTAATATATGTTAAAAACATTGCTGGAAAACCTTAAAATGTTTGCATGGAACCATGTCGCAATAAACAGATGAAGTAATAAAACTTGCTTTATTTTCTGACATTCGTCTGCCTTATAGTCACATTTTATAGGCAAATTTTCAAATAAAGCAGTGGCACCTGGTAAATTCCACTATAGGTGGGATGCAGCATGCAATAACACCATACACAATAATTCCCATTACTTGGACATTAAAAAGCAGTTTCAGCAGTTTATCATTTTTCATTTTTCTAAACGGTTATAATGCCACCAGTACATAATTGCGAAAGGAGGGGAGGGGCGGGGGACGTGAGCGCGGGGCGGCGCGCGATCGCGGACCGCCGCGACGACGGGCACTTTCAAAATTGTATACTTACAAATCCGTCCATTTAACTTGTTCATGTACTACTTTTTGTCAAATGTAACTGGGTGACTACCTACATATGTGCACTATTTTGCTTTATTATTCAAATTGTTAAGTATAAAAGTTGGTCTTATTGCTCAACGAGAAATGAAATAAAGCAAATTTGTGTTATTTCACATTCAATTGGGAAATAACACAAATTTGCGTTATTGCCGTTTGTGTTATTTCACCCCCCCA